GTGAAATCTCTTTCGTGTTGAAAGGGAGCTGGAGTACCTTCGGGCTGTGAGGGGAACCAGTATACATTCTCGTATTCTTTTTTTTCTCACTTTATTGCTTTCAAACACTTAACATCAAACCAGAAAAATAAGCATAAATTAAGTCTAAAACCGGTAAAATTTTAAAGTGCCTAATTCACCTCCCCCCTCCCCCTCTTAGACGCACTCATTACTTATATGATGGTTTTGGGGATTTTTACTCTCAACTCCATCAGACCCATTCTTGAGATTAGTGGCTTAGAAAACAACATAAGAGGTTGCATCTTGATGATTCGGAGTTGGAATTGCACCAATCTTCTTGACACCGCGAGAGTTGTTGGTTCATCTCTCTTCTTCTCTTTGTATTCTCTATTGTCGGGGTTTTGTATGTAAGTTTACTTTGATTTTATGTATATGTTTTGATCATGGCGTTGTACAATATCTATTTTGCAAATCTATGTCAATGTTATCCTTGTTTACTTGCTTTATGTTTGGATTTGAGTTGCTATATACATATACTCTTCAGATCTGGATTTAGAATTAACATCTATTAGGTTCTAAACTCTAGAAATAGATTTAGATCTAATATTCATAGTGGGTATCGGTTCTTAATGCTTTGTGTTGTTTAGTTACGTGAGACATCACCGATGAGACAATACGGTAGAACTCTCGTCGGTGCTTAAGACATGGACACTGATGTGAGGGATACGTGATGATATTGATGAGTGTTTTAGGTTACATACAATTGATCGATAGATTTAAGTATTTGATGGATAGATGAAATTAAATCCTGACGAGTTCTCTCCTCTCTAAAAAATACATTATTTACTTATTCATATGTTTTACTTTCTGCAGCTTACGCTTTTAAACCATTCAAACCAAGCTCAAAAACTTAGAGACTATTGAAAGACATTATTTTCCCCGCATCGATCCATGTGGATAAGATAAAACCTGAAATACTTTCAACTTAACTTTTGCTTCTTTCCGCTATATTGTAGTTCGAACAGTATAGTAGGAGTAAGCATCCCGGTTAAAGTGGGCCTTAGACCAGTACTTCAGATACAAAATTCACCAAAAGCGAGGAGAATCGGCATAGAGGTAGCAAAAAAATGAGATGGGTTGCGGGTTTGAGAGGCTTCACCAGTAAAAAATGCTCTAGAAAATCGCCTCACCCTAGAGTAAAAGGGTCGAACCAAGGATTGACCGGATGGAAGTAAATAAGCCCGTGATTATGGAAATTGTCCTAGGAAGTATATCTTGATAGAAAAGATCAAAGAATAATCTTATGGAAGGCTTCTAAGATTTGTGCTCGACACACAACTAAAGTATCCTTATGTATGTCCAGAACCTCGGATGAAGCTAGGAAGGAGCAACTTTTAGATATTTTAATATGGCTACCTCAAATTCAGCAAAGGACAGTCGAAGTCTTATTCTTGTAAACAAACACTCGTAAAACGGGATCTCACGGTCGTCAAAAGAACTATATATCCTCTTTTATGGCTCCATTAGAAGCTAATCATTCCAATGGATCGCCGACCATAATTTTAGTTGCATCTATAGCAGCCCTAATGCTAAGAACATATGAAATGCTCGCTACTTTTGCATCCATCCAATCATCTTTGACGCAAGTGGGCTAATTTGAAGATTCAAGTGGGCCAGCACATCAGTGTCTTTGAGCTCGCAGTTATTGGCCTGAATATGAAGTTAGGTGTAATCTTAAGCGTGTTATCTCCTTTGCAAATTGGCTTGTATCTCCTCTTCTGATAAGACGCCATGGGGCATAAGAACCTTGACGCAATTCATTCCTCCATCAACATTTGATAAAGGGTGTCTAATGAACTAGATGAAGAAGTTTCTTCCTCTAGAAAATTCTCGGATACCTTTTTTTGAGTCAGAATTGTCAGATAGAGTTACGATTTCTGGTTCTAGGCAATCACTATTAAGGGGAGGAAGATGAGAATCAAGGGATGTCCCCATAACAAAGTCATATGAAGTTTCGATTTCAAAATCGCTCACTAGATTAATTCTATTATCGCTCATCCTGACTAGAAAACAGGAAAAGTTGAATATAAAAGCTTGAGTTATGATGGTACTTGTTTATGTAAAATTGATGAAGCGGGAGAAGATGAAGATTGACGGAAGCTTTAAGAAAGCAATGAAATCGCTTCTAATGATAATCTTAGAGAGGAAGAAACGACATTTTCTGAAAATTAACTGTAAGCTTGAAAGGTAAAGGTTGCGAAAGTTTCCAAATACTCAATTCTCCCTATTTAAAAGCAGCGGCAGGTGAAAGGATTGGACTAACTATTTGAAATAAATCTTAAGATCAATGACTAGATTTCCACTCATGGATACACACCAATATGAGTGCACTCAAGTACTCTGTAAACAATTTCATACCCTAGCTAGTCATGTCACTGCATATGCCAGAAAAGGGTGACGAAGTGTTTCAATGATGAGGTTGTATTTATGCGCCTATTCCCCACTATTTTTTTCAAAACTGATTCCAAGTGTTTTTGTTCCATTTCACATCGAAACACGTCCTGGAGGTCAGTCAACATTACTTCAGGCTTCCCTCGACTCCTTCGGTGCCCGACAAAGCCTTGGGGGAAATTATTATAGACTGGTTAAAGGCCCAAACGATTATGGCCAGATCCACTCTACTTGACTCAAAGTATAAAATCAGTCCACATGTTAAAAGCAAGGTACAATCTCTTATCTCCACTTTTCACTACACGCATCTTGAATCTTGAACTGACTTGAGTGTTGGAATGCTAACCATGCAGGTCCATCTTGCGTCGCCGTAAAAGAGATCGGAAGAATCGTTCAAAATCATCAATTTTTCAACTATATCTATTTCTGATTCCCGAACAGAACGGTAATATATACAAATTTGTTTTCCACCATTAAACCAATAAGTGTCATCATATATGGACTTATTGATCTAGGGATGGAAATCTTGTTGTGCATGATACAACGTTGATCAATGTGTATCAAAAATAGGGGGAAGGTATGTTATTTAAACACTAAACTTTTTATTCAAATAGAATTTCCCATTAGAAAAACTTGATCTAGAGAAATTAACACTCGTTTTTATCTATTGTATCGTATTAATGTGGTAAATATTTGAACTTGAAACAAAGTGTCTAACCTAACCTAACATTAGTATTCGTCATTTGAGGTAGATCTTATGGACAAAGATTAGTTAATTATAAGATTGTTATATAAAAAAATTTATAGAAGTTGACAAAAGAAGGAGAAGAATGCGAAAGGAAATAATGCAACCTTTGAGGATTTTCAAATAATTTATTTACTACAGGATTGCCCTTTCTGTAATCCTATGGACAGTGTAATCATTAAAATATCCAACTTATATTACAAGAGAGGTTGAACTCGAACCATCACTAAACCTTTCTAAATTTTATTAACATAGTATATAGTAATATTTTAAGAAAAGAAGTCCAGTTTATGAACTGCAAAGTTGCATATCAAATCATCAATACCATCACCATCTGAGCCTGACGTTCTTGTTAATTTGAAAATTCTTGAAAATGAAAGTGTTTATTTAATGATATATATGTACAAAGTTACTAGCATAGTTCATCATCAAATTTCAAGACCCTTAGTAAAATTATTGAAAATTTATCATTCTTTACAAAATATTCATCAATTATTTAATTGCAAGGTGTAACATCTGGAAAAGTCCTCACCTAATGAAAGCAGAAAGTTCCAAAAATATTGTGTGGCCTTAACCTAACTGATTATCCATCATAGCTCCATACATAGAAAGACAAAATTGGGGAAAATTTAACATGATTAACAATATTTTACTTAACACAGGGCTATCATTAATTTACATATACAAACATATTTAATATATTTCAACTGGAGACAATCCTTTTCTGAAAATATGTGATCTTAATATCAATATTTAATATATTTCTTTAAGCCAAAAGCGTTGTTCATGAACATAACAAACCACACCATGGCGAGATGTAAATTGTCCTTTTACTTAAGAATGCTTGAATGATATGAATTGTGTCTCTTCTATATTAACCATCGTCATGAGATTGAACTCGGCCTTAAGAAGACAACAACGTTGTTAAAGCTCTTGAAAGCTCTTGAAAAAGAACTTTGTCGCTCATTTTATACTATCATATTTGAGAGATTAATCTCAACCGTTACAATGCAAGATACCTAATTCACAATAAATAAGATAGTCGAATACATTATCAAGGTCTTGACTTTGTTGTCTTTCCTAAAAAATTCCAGAAGCATTTGCAAGTAAAATTGGACTTTTCAACAGCACGCAGAAAGGTTCATCCCGAGTCACATAGGTTACGACAAAGTCTCCCGTGAGTTTTAATACTTTCTGAGATCAGAGTGTATGTGTCAGTGCTCTAGCTAGAGATAAAATGGCATTATGCCTCATGACACACAAAGCAAGGACAATTCCTTGAAGTGTGGGGAAACATAGACATTGTAGAATCCATTAATGATGTTCAAGCACAAGCTGAATTAGGCAATCGCATTAGTCAATGAAGAGTTCAACAAGTTCCAAGTCAACAAGGACAGTGCCTTGAATTGGGCAAACAGAGAATATGAAAATGTAACAAATGGTGTTCTGTTTTTCTTGCCGATAATAAACATCATAAATCCCTTTGCACACAAAAAAAAAAGAGACACGACTCATGAAATACACACATCACTCCATCCATAAGAAATTTAAAACTGACTGTGTCTATTTACATGATATAAAGTTTACACATTAGAAAATTGGCAGGAAAGATGAAAGAAACCCGACTCAATCTGGATGCTTAGGACAATATTAAACAAAAATATTGTGACTATAACCATATTGTTTTCCAACCATGTCATGAGTTTGGTACTTTGTTATGATTGTATACTAATACTCACAAACTTACACTGCAGCTTCTCCAGCATTTACAAGCAAAATCGAGCGAAGGAAGCACACACAAAGCTCAATTTTTCTCTGATTTAAGTTGTATACCAAGTAAAACAAGCCCTGCCGAAGTAAGTGCAGACAAGAATGTAGAGGAGTAAAAAAGAGCAAGCAATGTTCCCCTCAAAGACTGCGGACAAATATTTAGGCATCAGAAATAGGTAGTTAACAAAAGCAGGTTGAAGTGTTGTGAGAAAGAAGTTATTTCAAAGCACCTTAGCAAGCATCAACGCATTGTCATTTGCATACTGCAAAGAATTCTCTGGAGTGCTTTGAACTCCCTGAGCTATCTCCCATGTAAGAATCCTAATTCAAAGTTTATAGAAGAACTTAGTTTTCGAGGTCTCAATCTTCTTACTGATAACATTTTAACATGGAAAACTTACCCAAAAACTAATGCAATTGCAGCCCCTATATTGGCTTTAACGGGAGTAATTTCAACCTGCAGTGCTCCAAACTGCAGTCGGCAACCAGGTTATTAATTTTGCATAATCCTAGTAGTTTCTCAATACAACATAAATGGAGACGAATTAAATACAAACCTTCAGCGTCCTACTTTCCTCTTTGGGTTGTTCATCAATAACTGCAGATGTTGAATTAGCAGATAAAGCTCTCCCAGCCGCAATCATTGCTTTTGCAATCTATAGAACATTTTCACATGTCAATGTTACAAAGATAAAAATCACCATTTTAAATATGGCAAAGTTGATTCTATGTATTAGTATAATTGTTTAGCCGTGTTATTTTGTGCACAGGTGGCCTAATGAGATTGCTAATGTGGTGTGTTTTTCTGACTGTTAACAATAGTAATAGTCTTTAAAAAAATAACTGACTTGAAAATGCCAATGAATAATTTGATGGGAATTTGTATTTAAGGGATGATTCCTGTAAATGCCAACTCTCAAGAGTAGGGACTCCAATTACTTAGAATAGAATTCAACGTAAAGAGAAAATAGATGCAGAGAGAATTAGAGTTTTAGAGAGATGATGGCATTTCTGAAAATGATGAATGATCCATTCGTTGGACCCTTGGCTATAATAGCATCGGATGGACCTTACAATTTAGAGAATATTATGACAATCTTACTCACTCACTAGTGCCATATCAGTTAAATGACAATAGAAAAGTAAATGAATAAACATAATTGTTGAAACTGTATTCCTTATACATTATGAAGAGAAAAATACACATATATGTTAGTCTCAGCTTCCTAATCAATCCCATTAATTATCGGAAGATTTGATACAATAATATCCTAATTGATACTACTGATAAAAGTATGGATACTGAATAATAATAAAATAATATCTCAACACTCCCCCTCAAGGTGGTGTGTGTGCATTATAAGCATCCATCTTGTCACATATGTATGTAATCCGAGGTCTTCGAAGAGATTTTGTAAAGAGGTCAGCAAGTTGATCCTTGGAATTAACAAAGGAGATTTTGATGGTCTCGGTGGTAATCTTCTCTCTAAGAAAGTGACTGTTGACTTCTATATGCTTTGTCCTTTCAAGAAAAACTGGATTGGAGGATAGGTGCAAAGCTGACTAGTTCTCACATTCAAGTTCCATAGGGCTGACTTCACAAAAATGAAGCTCCTGTAGTAAATGCTTTAACCACAAGAGCTCACATGTGGCATGGCCCATGGCTCGATACTCAGCTTCCATACTTGATCGAGCAACGACCATTTGCTTTTTGTTTTTTCATGAGATCAAATTTCCACCAATAAAAACACAATAATCCGATGTAGAGCGTCTATCACTTGCATCTCCTGCCTAATCGGCATCTGAGTATCCAATGATATCAGTGTTGCCTCTATCACAAAAAACAAGCTCTTTTTCAAGTAATCCTTTGATATACTTAAGGATTCGAATAACTGCATCCCAATGGTTGTCACAAGGAGAATTCAAGAACTGCCTTACTACACTGACTGGAAAAGATATATCAGGTCTAGTCAAGGTAAGATAATTCAACTTTCCTACAAGTCTCCGATATCTTCCTGGATCAGTATATGGCTCCCCCTGATTAGGAAGAAGCTTTACATTAGGATCCATAGGAGTGTCAACTGGTTTGCAATCTGTAAGACATGTTTCTTCCAAAATATCAAGAGCATATTTCCTTTGGGAGATAACAATACCTGACTTTGATTGAGCTACTTCAATTCCTAGAAAGTAACGAAGATGACCTAAATCCTTAAGTTTGAAAATTCTGAAAGAAGTGTTGTTTTAAAGTCTTGATACCCTCAAAATCATCACATGTAATTACAATGTCGTCAACATAAACCACTAGATAAATATATTTATTGGAGGAGTATTTGGTGGTGATCTGATTCACACCAGTTCATCCCAAATTATTGCAACACTTTACTAAATCTTCCAAAGACTTTTGTAATTTACATACTCGATTATACTCCCCCTGAGCAAAAAACCCAGGAGGTTGCTCCATGTAAATCTCCTCTTCCAAGTCACCATGCAAGAATGCATTCTTGATATCCAATTGAAATAGAGGTCATTGTTTCATGGCAGCCATGGCCAGAAAGAGGCGAACAAATGTCATCTTCACAACAGGAGAGTATGTATCAATATAATCTTGACTGGGGACTTGAGTGTATCCTTTTGCAACTAAGTCAGCTTTCAATCGATCTATCTGTCCATTAGGACCTACCTTAACATTAAATATCCACCTACAACCAAAAACAGATTTTCTAGGTGGGAGAGGAACAAGCTCCCAAGTATGATTAGATTCTAAAGCTGGCATTTCATAAGTATTACCTGTCTCCACCCTGGATGGGATAAAGCTTCCTGGATAGTTTTAGGAACAGAAACAGATGCAATTGCAGTAACAAAAGCACAATAGGTAGGAGATAACTGATGATAAGACACACAATTATTAATAGGATAAGCGTTATGGGTTGAACGATTACCTTTACGGATCGCAATGGGCAAGTCAGGAGACGGAGCCGGAGCAGGGGTAGAGGCGCTTGGAATAAGAGCTGAATCATGTGGTCTCAACATTCTTTCATAGGTAATGCCATATCAGTTCAACGGTGGTGGAGACTGATCTATCACAACGGGTGGACTCACTCGACTCAAAATAGGGAATAGGCAAAACTTGATCTAAATTAGTTTCAGGAACACCTGAGTTGGAAAAGTATGGTACGTCCTCAAAGAAAGTAACATCTGCAGACGTGTAGAAACGATGTGTAGAAGGAGAGTAACATCAATATTCCTTTTGGACGCGGCGCTTCCCCGACAACGGCGCCAAAAGCTTGAAACGCCGCAAGTGTACGGCTATTGTCTGAGTAGTAAAAAGATATCGAACCTCGGAGATCAATGGTTAATTACCAAATTTTATCTTACCGGTGTAAAGCTAGAGCAGTCGAATAGACAAAAAAGAGACCAACTTAAGTGAAAAAGCACTTAAGTCAAAACAACTTATTTGAAAAGCACTTTTAGAAAACAGCTTAAGTGTAAATAACTTAGAATTTAATAAAAAAACAAACAGGGGTTAAGGTTCATGAGACCTAACTCATGACTTGTAGGATTGATTTAATCAATTACGAAAATTTGAAGCACGTTTATTTTAAAAACCAGAGTTTTCTTTCAACCCTTGTAACTTAAGTAAAAGAGTTCTCCGGTATCGATAATGATCTGAGAGGACTTGTATCGATATCCGACATCAGGTTTTCAAACAACTGAGTATGATGACGCGAAAGTGCTCGGACAAAGTTAAGAAACTTTTCATTATAATAGTTTTCAATTAATGATTCAAATAAGTGAAAGCTAACATATTATTCATCGAAAATAGGACAACACGCTAGCGAAAGCAGGTGTTATCCATAAAATCTATTTTCTATAATTCGTGTGGAATTTCTCGTAGTAGAAGTAAGTCAAATCATATAGAGATGTTAGAGTAACGAATTGTGACCCTAAGTCCTATTTGTTTTTTATTAAATTCTAAGTTATTGACATTTTAGCTTTTTTTCAAAAGTGCTTTTTAAATAAGTTGTTTTAACTTTTTTCCACTTAAGTTGGTATCCTTTTCAACTATTCGATTGCTCTAACTTTACACCGATAAGATAAAATTTGGTAATTAACTATTGATCTCTGGGATTCGATATCTTTTTACTACTCAGACAATAGTTGTACACTTGCGGCGAGTCAATTGGAACAGTTGGAGCAATCTGGAGAATGGGAAGAGCTTAAGTCAAGACTTAACCACTTATCAAAAACCATTGTCACTTATCAATAACCACTTGTCGCCTGCCTGTGTAACAGGCTTTTGGAAAATGGCCTGGGAGCGTAAATAAGGGAGGTCTGAGGCGCCATGCTGTTATGGCCCGTAATAGCTATTACGGATGGCCGTATCAGCCCCTGTATTTTGTGTGGAAGATTTTGACTTTTCACCTTTTTTTTTCATGTTTCATCCAATTTGGTCCTTCTTTCGTCCAAAATACTTTATGAACACCTAAAACAACAGAAACATAATACTAAAACATAAAGCATAGCAAAATGAAGGAAAAGCGGATAAAACAATGAAATAACAAAATGAAACTACAAATAAAATCGATAATAAAACTACTTATCAAACTCCCCCAAACTTACATTGTTGCTTGTCCTCAAGGAACAAAGTTTGCATAGCGGATTTTTGAATCAAGCAAATCATCAAATGAAAGAGATTATGAAAGATGAAACATGTCGGTACTCATATGTGAGTCTGTTCAAAATGGCAAAAGACTAGTTCTTCTGGTACTCATCCCACGCCAAGAGTTTTTACGAGAAAACTAACTGCAGTGAGACACGTACCTAAGTTTTCCTTTTGGATATCTCTTTAACTATGCTTTGTAATTGAGTCTTATTTCCGATTTTCCTCCCTTTTCATTCGGACAATCAAATTAAGGCAATAAGAATTATGATAATCATCACATGCACATGGTTAATCGAGAATTTTTTTTTAATCACTAGATATGCAACACTTGTTATCTTTATCCACCGATGAAATTTTCAAAACTTTTCAGTTTATATATTGCCCTTATTAGGATGACGCTGGGGTTCAACCACTTTTCAATTGCCTTTTACCGCCTTTTAATCTTTTTGGTGTTGACGAATTTTTCAAAACTTTTCAGTTTATATATTGCCCTTATTAGGACGACGCTGAGGTTCAACCACTTTTCAGTTGTCTTTTACCGCATTTTCGTCTTTTTGGTGCTACAAATTTGTGTTTAGATAAACTAATCAGAGAGTACTTCTTGGAGTCCAATTACTATGGTACAAATCTACACGTTAGACTCGTATCTCACTTTCAGTAACCTAGGGTGTTCAAGCAAAACCCCTTTTTAACTTTTCCGATTTCCCTAACCTCAACATTTCATCCCTTTAACTCTATATACTATTTCCAATTTCTTCAGAATCAAAACTCTTTTGAAGAAAAAAAAATCTTCCAATCATAATTTGGAAAAAATTTCAAAGAGTGGTCTTTTGGAAATATAATTAGCAGAAACAAATAACATGAAGCAAATAAACCAACAAAAATCAAATGACAAGAAAATAACAAAAGCGGGTAAATCCTCCCGAACTCGAACTAAACATTGTCCGCAATGTTTTAGCCAAAGAAAGGGAGGGCAACTCA